AGGAAGCGATTCATCCCTTCCATCGTCACAGGGAGCTCCTCATATCGGATGATTCGGTGGAAGCGGGGGAAATGATCGCCACTGCGGGGGAGGGAGGCGAGGTAGCCGCGATAGAAGGAGGAGAGGGTACGGAAAAGCGCCGCTCGAAAGATCTCGAAGTGGCGGCAAGCGGGGATTGTCCCCGTGGCGATGCAATAAACTTCTACCACGTTGCATTGCTCCTATGTAGCACTGAACAGCACAAGATGTCAGCAGAACGTGGGAGCGGCGGACTGAAGGGAGGCGTGGGGGTGGACGGTGGCGAGTAGACGGGTAGAGTAGAAGTCGCGGTAGAGATGGGGATGGAAAGGATGGGAAGGGAAGGTGACGGGGGTACGAATCCGAGGGTGAGAAAATCAAGGGGTCGGCGGGGCAGCGTCCGAGGTCGAAGGCCTATCGCCCGCATTGGTACGTGGGCAGACTGGGGGACGGGTGGGGTTGGAGGAGGAGGGGGATCGGCGCCGTCTCTGTCGCCGGGTACTTGAGGTGGAGGCTGCAGGGTCGCCATCTTCGGGCCTCGGCGGCTCTGGATCCCTGGTCGGATCGCTACCGATGCGCAGGCTAGCCTCGCTAGCGAACTGACGCTTTCCGGAGGCAATCTCTTCGTGCTTTCGCGCCGCTTCCAGATCTTTCGCCTCCGTTCCCGTACGCGTCGCTTCCTCCGGCGGGGCTTCCCACTCGGACCCGGTTCCTTCTTCTTCCTCTTCACTCAGCTCGCCCTCACTATGTTCAATATAGCTTCCCTCCTCCGATGTCTCCTTGTCGTCGTTTTCTTCTTCGTGTGTCGTTGTCGTCAATCACCACTTCTTCTGCCCTCGGGTAGAAGGCGTAAGGGATGATCTCGTACGGCTTCAGATACTCCTGCCGCGATGGTAGCGTATCCTCATCCCTAGGTTCCTCCAAGCACGAAGTCCACTGAAGGTACGGATYCAAGGATCGCTCGAAAATGTACGGAGCAAGACTGTTGTCGCTCTKAAAGTAGATGTCGGGCGAGAGATCGTCCGCCAATTGCACGATCAGTGCGATGAGCTCCTGTGCAATCAACTGATGGCGACCCGGTCGTACCGATCCAAAGAGGAATCCCATAAGATCTCCTTCCGCGTTAGTCCTCCAACCCTGTATGATCAGCAGCTCCGGATTCTCGATCCATGTGGGGTGCTCAATAGTGCCCGTCCACTTCACTTGTACTCGGGTCAGGCAGAAGGACAACTCCTCAAAAGTCTCGCGCCACAGCCGCCAATGTCCAGGATGGATAAGAGGGACCGAAAGAGGTTCGAATGAGAAGGAGAGAGAAGGGTGGAGATCGGATTGCCAGAAGGTGGGGAAGAGAGAGGGGAAAGCAAAGATAGAGAGAGGGGCGAGAAAATTGGCATGGTTCATTGGGGATGGGGGAAGGGAACGAGGGTTGGGATCTCAACTGGCCAATCGCGCGGTGATCGGCGAATGCCGTCAATGTCCGATGCAAAGATCAGGATGATGTTATACCCCTCCCGGGTGAGGACGTGCTGCCACACGTTGGACACTTGCTCCGTCCACTCGCGCAGCGAGCGCGCAGCGAGCGCGCAGCGAGGCCACGATCGCGGTATGCCGCAGCGGATTGACCGAGCTGATGTCGCCGGTGAATGGCGCCACTATGGTGACGTGGCTCGTTCTGGGACCCGCTCGCCGATGAACTGCAGTAACCTCCGCGAACACTATCGTGTGAGGGCTTCCTTCTATCCGAAACGCGGCGGCGGCACAGATACCTTCGTCGCAAAAGAATCGCATCAAACGGCTTAGATTCGTATTGAGCCGAGGGTGACAAACTTGTCGGATCTCTGAGATGTGGCCACGTGGCTGCCGCAGCTGTGCGTCGAGAACCCGCTCCGTGATGAAACTCATGGTGAGGTCGGAGAGGAGGACGAGGGACAAGAGGGAGAAAGAGGAGAGAGGGTTAGATCGTCGTCGTTTTCCTCGCTTTCCGAGGAAGAAGAGAGAGGAAAATCGGAAGGAGAAAGGAGACGGAGGTAGGAGGTATGTCTGACGATGGGGACGGAGCTATGGCTAGCGCTAGCCTCAGGCGTGACGCGCACCGTGTTGGCGGCGTTGGGCCCGAGTTCGACAACGCGAAAACCGCCAGAGAACTTGGGAGCGAGTTTCCGATCGCGTGCACATTTATGTACCTGCACTAGGTCCCCCAATTTATACTGGTACTGGGGCCCAGCATTTTCGTTCCAGGCCTCGTAGATACGGACCTGTCTACCGTGGGCCAGCTCGGTCATCCTTTGTCTTTTTCGGGCTAGCTTCGGAATGGCTCGTTCCATCAAATCGGTGTACCTTTTGGCCTTGGCCTTGAGGGCCGCACGTGTGTCTCTACCCCCTGCTTCGACAATTTCCGAGTTACCCCGACAATCGACACAGGGGAGGCTATTAGTTCGAAGCTGGAAGGGGGTGAACCCCGTAGACTCATGAGGGGTGGCCCGGTGGATCCCAACGATCAAATATACGATCTCGGGCCAAGGACGCGTGTCGTGTGCCGCTAAGTTTCTGCGAAGGGCGGTTTTAATCATACGGTTGGCATTCTCGGCCAACCCGTTCGACCGGGATACGTGGGGTGCCGTATGTCGGAGCGTGACGCCCCTTCATGCAAGCAGTTCCTCTACCTCACCTTTGAATTCCGACCCATTGTCATTTAGAATTTCTTCCGTATCTAGATGGGTATGGAGGAATCGTTCGATGTATGTGGCTATTTGGGCGGCCTTTCGGGTCTTACAAGGATAGACTTCAATGTATTTGGAAAAATGGTCAATTAAAACTAACAGGATGGAATATTCACAGCGGTTTGGGCCAGGTGGTACGTCAATATCTGTCGTGTCCATACTGACTCGCTGGAAAGGACGCTCTACTTCCACTGGCACGATCGTGTTTGGTCCCCGTATAGGGGCGCGATCAGCGGCACAGACCAGACAGTTAGCGACAATGTATTTGACATCATGTCGTATACTGGACCAGAACCATCGATTCTGGTCTACAGTTGCCTCTGTGACACGTATCGCTAAATGAGCGGTCTGTTCCTCGTGAGCAGATCGGAGCCAATCGTATCTTTGGAAGGGATAGGGAACTGTCATCCATGAACCCGATCCGTCAGTTTTACGCTTTTCCAAATGACCGTTGATCCATCGATAGTCCCGAGATCTCTCGGTCGCCCTACGTCTGTCGTGTTTGGTGAGGTGGCCCAATGATAATCCCGCTAATTTCGCCAATAAAATTTTATCCGTCCAGACTTCCGCCCGTCGATATTTTTTGTCATATTCAGGACCGTCCGTACGGGCGGCCTCGAATCGAACCTCTGTGGGGAGTTTGTTCGTTCTACACAGGGGGCACCTCCATTCCTTGCTACTCGTTCGATATCGAACGCAGGCTCCGTGCGCACGATTGACACACGTGGCACATTCCACCCAATCGACAAATCCGGTCTTGAAGGGATGACAGTCGACCCCGTAAACCTGTGCAATATAGGTGCAAAAATAGCAGAATTTATCGGGGAGGGTGCTGAAGAAAGTTGAGGAAGTACGAGGGGCAGAATTAGTAGGAGAAGAAGGGGTTGTGGAGGCAAGTGGGGTAGTCATGGTGGCAGAGGAGGAGGGGATGCAGGGAGAGCAGAACATAACAATTAGTCCTCGTGTCACTTACTGCTTCGATAAGATCTCCACTTGGTCGTACCGAGGTCCGATCTCCTGTTCGGGTTCGTTCCACGGAATTACCTCCTCACCCTTTGGAACCTTTTCAGGCCGGTGCAGTCGTGTCGGTCCGTCCGCATTCCCGTGTCTCTCGTGCTTTCGATGACGAATGTCAAAGTCCATGCTCTGCAGCACCGTTGCCCATCGCTCGATCATGCCCGAGTAATCCTTCGACTTCTTCAGAGCCAACAGGGGCTCATGATCAGTCACCAGGGTGAATTTTCGCCCGTACAGGTAAGCACGGAAGTGACTGATTCCCCAGAGAGCCGCATAGTATTCACCCGTTGGAGCGGCGTAAAATCGCTTGCAGACGAGCACTGATTTGGATGCATACTCCACTACACTCTCGAGTCCGCTCGGTCCGACCTGGGCAAGGATCGCCGAAATCGCCTCTAGCTGCCAGTCGGTGATGAGAACAAAAGGTTTTTCGGGATCCGGTCTTATAAGGACCGGAGCTGAAATGAGAGCAGCCTTGGTTTGGAAAACGCTTGATCGCACTCCGGCGTCCAGATCAACGGCTGATCCTTGCGCAGGAGATTTGTGAGGGGTCCCGCAATCGCCGCGAAGCCCTTGATAAATCTTCGGTAATACGGGGCTAGGCCCAGAAAGGCTCGAACTTGCGTGATAGTGGAAGGTACTGGCGCATCCCTGACAGCTGCCACCTTCTGCGGCTCCGGTTGGAGTCCCTTGTCTGTCACCACGTGCCCTAGGAAAGAAATGGTGGTGAGGAAAAACTGACACTTCTCAAGCGCCACTTTGAAACCTTCATCTCGTAGTGCATGCAGTGCCCATTCGATGTGTTGCACGTGTCCCTCATAGGAGCTCGAACACACCAAGATGTCATCCATGTACACAATCACGCAGTAGTTGATGATGCTCTACGCCAGGCAAGTCTTCCGCACGAAATTATGAAAAGCCATGTTCATGGCCCGCTGAAAAGTCGCAGGGGCGTTGCAGATACCCATCGGGCATCGAATCCATTGTCACGTACCTTCGAAAAGCACAAATGCCGTTTTCGGACGATCTTCTTTTCGGACAAGAAGATGATGGAATCCATGGCGAACATCAAACTTGCTGAAAAATCGCGCACTCCCAATCGCATCCAATAACTCATCAATCCGGGGGAGGGGATACACATATTTGATCGTGATATCATTCAGCTTTCGATAATCAATGCAAATGCGAATCCCCCCTGCCTTCTTGGGTACTATCACTACAGGAAAAGACCATGGTCCTACAGCGGGTTCGATCCATCCATTAGCTTCGAACTCCTTAATCCGTTGAAAGGCGGCCGATCGTTAAGCTGGCGAGTATCGGTAGGGAGCGCAGCTAATGGGCAGATGATCTCCCATGAGAATGGCATATTCAATTACATTAGTTAACCCAATATCATTGGCATGCACGCTCAACACTTCTGCGTAACCATTCAATACACAGATTAACGACTTCCGAAGTTCCGCGGGAACATGACTCGGGAGGGGATCGTCGATTCCCCGGACATATTAAGGGGCATATCGATCCAATCAACCGGCCGTTCCCGCCGCTCATGGATACTAGAGAAAACGGAACTACTGGTGCGAACAGAAAAGACAATTGCTATCATCTGGGACTCAGCGGGGCTGATCATCTCCGTTTCTTTAGTTCCAGCATTAGTCTCTGAACCAACCGAAGTTCGTTCCACAGTTAGCCCAATTAGATCCGTCATTTCTTGCATCAGATTAGGTACATCATTTACCGGTGCTTCTGCCTCTTGTTTAATCAAGGCAATGGTGGCTCCTGTCGTTAGTAATGATCGAGGTGGAAAAACAAAAACGTCCAAATACTATTCTGTTTGCTGATAACGCGTTCGTAAGGAAAGAGCTCCCTCGTACAAGGTGCGAGGGGGTTCCAAATCATCAGCCAGATCGGAAACTTGTAATATGGGTTCCTCGAGGAGGACAGAAGGACTGCTTTGGGTTGTTAGAGGCGTGAATGCACTGTCTTCAGAATTCACGTGGAAGCTTCGAGCGGTGTCGGGGCACAATCGAAATTCTTCGGGGGTTTCATGTTCAAAAAGTTCAACTAGATGCTTTTATTCCTCTTTGCTGAGCATCTCTTCTTCGTATTCTCGTTCCCTGATTCCATCCCCGAGGCGTGAGGGGGAGCACTCCTCGGGATCAATGCATCGAATCATCCCTATTTGGGCCGGGCTAGGGATCCGCTTTATCGTTCGGGTGGAAACTCGCAAAGGAACAGTTTGAGGTTTTCCCCCGGTTTGTGTGAGTACCAGTTGTCTCGAATCGAAATGCAGACGTGCGCCCACCGCCATTGCCCAAGGTATTCCTAACAACACAGAGTAAGAACGTACATCTATTACGAGTGCGTTAACGAGGACGTGTACTCGCCCGACCTTTATCGCCACGTTCTCGATAATGCCGACAATGTTCATTGCTTCCTCATCAGCAGAGACATAGTTGTGTTTGCCATATTGAGGAAGAATGGATCCAAGTCGTTCCGTCTTTTTAACAGTCTCCAATGATATGGCCACTGCAGAATACCCTGTGTCGATTAGGGCATTAAACGGTTTACCCAAAACTTCACAGTCACATTCCGCACTTTTCCATAGTACTGGCCGAACTCGTACGACGTGATCCTTTTCTGCTAAAGAGATCGCTGCTATTCGTGCGGCTTCGGGTTCTTTCGTGTCAGGCTCGGGAGGTGTAGTCTTCTCGTTTCCGTCCTTCTTCTTCAACATCCGTCGTATGCGCTGATAGGTGAAGCGCTTTTGATTTTTCTCGCAATGTTGTAGAAGTTTATCGTTCGCTGCTTCAGATATGGTAAGCAGATGTCCTGCTGGGATAGGTACACGAATATCTAATTGCTTGAGCGTTTTCAATACATCAATATCTCCTGTCCGAAACTGTGGTCCAAGATTGGACTCACGATCGACCCACTCGAGATCATCTTGGGCCGATCGGCTCGCTCCGATCATTCCGGCAAGATGGAGATACTTGAGGGGATCGACCACGTCAGCAGCGTCAAAGGAAGAAGCTCCTGAGGTCGACGCTATTATCGCTGAAGAGGAAGGTTGTTTTGGAGCATACGCTATGAGCTCTCCTCCCTGGTCCGTGTCCATCAGAGCGGTCACTCGTCCTTGATTAAGGGCGACAGGGGCCGCAGCAGGGGGAGGCTGATTACATTTCGGTTGCGGACAGTCTCGGGCAAAATGTCCGGGCTGTTTGCAGTTGAAACACTCGATCTTTCCCGCCGGATTAGCTAGATGGGGATACTGAGGGGCGAATCCTGGAGCAGGCGGAGCAGGTAAGAGCGGAAACGATGCAGGGGCAGGCCGAGCAGGAGCTGGATTAGGCTTAATGAGCCTGCTCATTATTTGTTCCATTAGTTCCATATGAGCGGCCTGCATTTGGATCAGGTTGCCCATCCATTCGGACTGCTTAGTAGTAGCCGTGTGGATCATTTGGGCAAGCTGTAGATTGGTTACGGCCGGCGAGAGGGGCTCAAATGAAGTTCCGCTTCTAACGGCTGCAATCCATTGATTCACCGGGGGAGAGGGAGGAGAAACAGTTGGGATATTGGAAACGATCCCGCCGGGAAGGTCATGGTCGGGGCGGGGATAAAACCGTTCGACCGCTGGTAGCCATGATCGCCTTTTGGCCGTTACATCCCGTATGGTATCTGTAATGTCCTCGCCTCCCTGGCTGACATATTTTTTTGCATCAACCAAGTCTAGCTCCAACGCTTTAGTGATGATAGCCGATAACTGGTGTGTTTTCGGCGGAACTTTTTTCTACAATATCCCTTTCAGTGTCGGACTTCGTAGGTGATCGATGAACAAATCTCGAGCGGATTTCTCATCCCGCCCGGATCTGTCCAACGTGGTTTGAAACCGATCGACGAAATCGGGCAACAACTCCCCTGGTCCTTGGGGTCGATTTTTTAGCACGTACCAGGCGGCATCTTCACTGACTGTATCGAATCGAGCCAAAAAGGTTGTCTTGAAAGTAGCCCAATCTACTCATCTATGTTTCCTAAACCAGTCATGTGACGTGTTGCGGCGTAGCAATGTCAGAACGCGGGGGAGATCGGCGGCGCTGTAGTTCTGAGCTTCGACAGCTTCCAGCCAAGCCTCGGGATGAGTATGGTTAGGGAAGAAGGGGAAGGGGGCAGGGATGTTAACGATCACCCTAGTACCATCCACCATTGGTATTGCATGTGCAGCCGCACTAAACTGAGACCGGGTTACTGGGCGATCCCGACGACTTAGTTGAGGGTCTCTCCTACCTCTCGCCAGTTCGACTTACTATCATCAGAACCGACACGTGTCGGCTCCGATACCAACCTCACGCCCTGTCCTGTCTTCCGTTCGGAGTGTTAGGGAGGCAGAAAGAGGCCCAGAAAAACAGCAAGATGGGGTGTGCCAGGGATTTTTGGAAATTGAGTGTGGGGACACAGATGGAACTGAAATCCCCCGTGTAGGTACGATGTAGCAAGTCGATTAATTTCGCGCATCCGGAATGCGCGCGCGATCATGGCGCGAAAACAGAAAGATTCAAATTCAATCCAAAAAGTATTGTCGTGCCTCCCACCGGGCTACAGCCCGTCGTTTAGAACAGAAAGGCTTGGGCACGCTTCGCGTGTCCCGTTTTCGTATCAAGTCTCGTCGTCGTTCGCTGGTTAGTTCCGAGTCTGATGTGGAGGGTCTCAGTCGCGTGGCTCTTTCTTTATGCTCCTCTTCACTCCGCACACGGTAGTGGAAACCCCTGGACTCGTAGCACTCAAAACGATGACATTTAGTGCACAAAGTGCGCGGCCAGTGGGGTTCTACTGCCGTCCACGAAATGACGATCAACTCGTTAAATGGCAACAATACCGAGTAAGGTGGGAAGTGCGTATCGATAATAAAAAACCCGGCGTCTACGAACCCAGAACAGCGGTTGGCCGGAGGGAAGTAATACTGCCCGCCGATTTGTGCAACAGCTTCTCGTACGTCCCACTCACATACACGTGTCCTTTCCTCACTTTAAGGAAAAGGTCGCGTTGGGATGGGAGATACGGAAGGTTTGCGCCCAATCGAAGGGTACTTGTCAGTCCACATGTCAATCAATCACAAAATATCATGAGACGTCATTAAGAACAAAAGCGATTCGCGCGTCCCTCAATCAATCTTTTTGACACAAGAGCGACAGCAAACACACATCCACTTGATCATGCATATGAGTAAGGGACCGATCTGCGACTCAGTTCAACACAACGTTGGTCCCTCGCGCCTTATTTCTCAAGGCCGCCCGGTGGCTTGGCTGCTGATGTCATGCAGCATAAGGCAAATGGCATGCGTAGTGCATTCGGAACCACAGATCTAAACACTCTTACATTCTCGAACAAAATCCCGGCGACAATCATCTAATCAATACGAAAGGAGTCACACATTTTCATACGTGCCTTCACTGTGGAAGGTGCGAAAATGAGACATGCACAGGAAAAGATGGATTGCATTGCACAGTACACACGCATCCACCGTTCACAAGACAAGACGACAGGGTCCTTTCGTAGGAGGATTACCCAGGAAACTAATGGAAGAGCTCCGGAAGAAGTTCTTTCACACAGAAACATGATGCCGACTCATTCCCGTTCAAGAGAGGGACAATCATTCAGACGCATCGTCTTTCGAGAAGAAAGAGAGAGAGAGAGAGAGAGTCGAGGGAAAGAAAGTCCAAAATAGAAGATGACAAGGTCCAGGAAGAGAAAAGTTCGGCGTCATCGCCGTACACTTACGCCAAAGATAACAATCCGTAACAAAGGCGCATTCGTCGTTAATTCCAATATGGCCCCGGACCAATCAACTCAACATCGATCCTCACACCTGCACCGACGATCCCGGTCGTCGCGTGCTAACTCCCACCACTGCGATCGTAACCCCGTTGTCGTAAACTCGATACGGTTCACCCAGATCCCACAGTCCGTCGTGGCGATCCAGTGCGCAACCGGCCAGTCTATCGTCAGCCCGACAGGACTTTCCGACTCGCTTCAAACACTCTGCCTAGCCACTGCTTCCCTGAAGTTGGCTCGAGAGGAAGAATGAAAAACAGTTACGGGAAGAGAGAAAAAGGACGGAGAAGGGAAGGGAGGCGCGGGAGGGAGCGATGCGGGAGACAGAGAGGAGGAAGCTTTTGCATGCATGGTGCTGTCAACAAAAAAAGAAAAAGGCACCAAAACAGTTACAGCTTGCTTCTATCCTAATTCAAAATTGAAATCACCATATCCGCGCGCGAAAAAGCGACGCGGGAAAAGAAAATCCTACGCCTATTCGTATTCACGCAAAATTCCGAGAGTTTTCCCTGATGCACCCAAGAACATTCACACACCCAAAAAAGACACGTCGAAGTTCCGCTTATCCCGGAATTCCCAACTACCGTGCCCAATTCCCAGTGCGCTCTCTAAGGTGCACGTAAATTCTCATGTATTTCCCGACTTTGCAAGAAGAAAAACAGAACTCAGCAGTCCAAAAAGCTCTCAAAAAGGAAAATACGGCACCCGAAAGCAAGCACTCAAAACGGGGTTTTCCTAGGGTTGCTATGATACAAGCAAAAGAAAGGGTACGAAAGATGGCACGGGGTCGGGAAGTGGTTCGTCACAGACGTGCGGCAGGTGGCATTCATACTAACGACGGTGGAAACGGGCATTTGCAGTGGCGCAGTGGAGTCGTCGTAAGTCTTCAACGAATTTGTGCGCGCCCCGCGAAGGTTCACTTTTCAATTGAACAGTGCACATGCCATTACTGCACATATTTGTGGCTAAGCCACAAGCGCAGTCCCGGACGGTTGAAAACGTACTGTAAACCACGAGTACCTTTCCCTGGTTGAAAAAAAAATAATGCGCTGGGGAACGGTACAGCCGGACCCAAATGGCTGGTCGCGCCAGCCTGAAAACGGGCAGTGCCAGTTTGTTTTTTTTTGGCGCGCAGGGCATTTTCAGGCTCGGTAACGATAGCTGAGAAAGGTAGCGGTGGTTTAAACCACCAGTACTTGACCCAACTATGGGCCGCGGGCGTGTGCCGTTAACGTTCTGCATTTGGGGGGGGTCGTTCACGTGAGCGGCCGGTTGGTGAGAATTGTGACGTAGAAACCATAAAAAAAAATAAAGGGGCAAGTGCATTTGTGGCACAAAATAGTTTCGAAAGGGCAAAAAAAACATCTGTGGGCATCTTCATCGGGGCCCGACTTCGAAAAGGCAAGCGAAACATGGGAGTGCAATAACATCGAGGCCGAAGTCCGATATGAGCGGTTGTGGCAGTTTTAAATGGGTGGCTGTGTTGCAGGCACGGTACCGGTCTGGATACCGGTCTGTCCCAACTACGTTGCCACTTGTACGCACCCTCGTACGAGTATGGACTCGTACTCTTGTACTCAT